TTAGCCGAAAAAAACGACATAGTATAGTAAGGCATTTTTTCCCGCAAAAAACGACCATGTATAGTAAGCCGTTTTTAGCCGAAAAAAAACACATCGTAAAGTAAGGCATTTTTAGCCCGAAAAAAAACACATAGTATCGTAAGGCGTTTTTAGCCGAAAAAAACGACATCGTATAGTAAGGCATTTTTAGCCGAAAAAAATGACCGAAAAAAAAGACTGCATAGTAAGGCGTTTTTAGCAGAAGAAAACGACATAGTATAGTAAGGCATTTTTTCCCGCAAAAAACGACCATGTATAGTAAGCCGTTTTTAGCCGAAAAAAAACACATCGTAAAGTAAGGCATTTTTAGCCCGAAAAAAAACACATAGTATCGTAAGGCGTTTTTAGCCGAAAAAAACGACATCGTATAGTAAGGCATTTTTAGCCGAAAAAAATGACCGAAAAAAAAGACTGCATAGTAAGGCGTTTTTAGCAGAAGAAAACGACATAGTATAGTAAGGCATTTTTTCCCGCAAAAAACGACCATGTATAGTAAGCCGTTTTTAGCCGAAAAAAAACACATCGTAAAGTAAGGCATTTTTAGCCCGAAAAAAAACACATAGTATCGTAAGGCGTTTTTAGCCGAAAAAAACGACATCGTATAGTAAGGCATTTTTAGCCGAAAAAAATGACCGAAAAAAAAGACTGCATAGTAAGGCGTTTTTAGCAGAAGAAAACGACATAGTATAGTAAGGCATTTTTTCCCGCAAAAAACGACCATGTATAGTAAGCCGTTTTTAGCCGAAAAAAAACACATCGTAAAGTAAGGCATTTTTAGCCCGAAAAAAAACACATAGTATCGTAAGGCGTTTTTAGCCGAAAAAAACGACATCGTATAGTAAGGCATTTTTAGCCGAAAAAAATGACCGAAAAAAAAGACTGCATAGTAAGGCGTTTTTAGCAGAAGAAAACGACATAGTATAGTAAGGCATTTTTTCCCGCAAAAAACGACCATGTATAGTAAGCCGTTTTTAGCCGAAAAAAAACACATCGTAAAGTAAGGCATTTTTAGCCCGAAAAAAAACACATAGTATCGTAAGGCGTTTTTAGCCGAAAAAAACGACATCGTATAGTAAGGCATTTTTAGCCGAAAAAAATGACCGAAAAAAAAGACTGCATAGTAAGGCGTTTTTAGCAGAAGAAAACGACATAGTATAGTAAGGCATTTTTTCCCGCAAAAAACGACCATGTATAGTAAGCCGTTTTTAGCCGAAAAAAAACACATCGTAAAGTAAGGCATTTTTAGCCCGAAAAAAAACACATAGTATCGTAAGGCGTTTTTAGCCGAAAAAAACGACATCGTATAGTAAGGCATTTTTAGCCGAAAAAAATGACCGAAAAAAAAGACTGCATAGTAAGGCGTTTTTAGCAGAAGAAAACGACATAGTATAGTAAGGCATTTTTTCCCGCAAAAAACGACCATGTATAGTAAGCCGTTTTTAGCCGAAAAAAAACACATCGTAAAGTAAGGCATTTTTAGCCCGAAAAAAAACACATAGTATCGTAAGGCGTTTTTAGCCGAAAAAAACGACATCGTATAGTAAGGCATTTTTAGCCGAAAAAAATGACCGAAAAAAAAGACTGCATAGTAAGGCGTTTTTAGCAGAAGAAAACGACATAGTATAGTAAGGCATTTTTTCCCGCAAAAAACGACCATGTATAGTAAGCCGTTTTTAGCCGAAAAAAAACACATCGTAAAGTAAGGCATTTTTAGCCCGAAAAAAAACACATAGTATCGTAAGGCGTTTTTAGCCGAAAAAAACGACATCGTATAGTAAGGCATTTTTAGCCGAAAAAAATGACCGAAAAAAAAGACTGCATAGTAAGGCGTTTTTAGCAGAAGAAAACGACATAGTATAGTAAGGCATTTTTTCCCGCAAAAAACGACATAATATAGTAAGCCGTTTTTAGCCGAAAAAAAACACATCGTAAAGTAAGGCATTTTTAGCCCGAAAAAAAACACATAGTATCGTAAGGCGTTTTTATCCCGAAAAAAACGACATAGCATAGTAAGGCGTTTTGAGCCCGAAAAAAACGACCATGTATCGCAATGCGTTTTTAGCCGCAAAAAAACGAGCAAGTATCGTAAGGCGTATTTTGCTGAAAAAAACGACATCGTATAGTAAGGCATTTTTAGCCGAAAAAAATGACCGAAAAAAAAGACTGCATAGTAAGGCGTTTTTAGCAGAAGAAAACGACATAGTATAGTAAGGCATTTTGAGCCCGAAAAAAACGACATAGCATAGTAAGGCGTTTTGAGCCCGAAAAAAACGACCATGTATCGCAATGCGTTTTTAGCCGCAAAAAAACGAGCAAGTATCGTAAGGCGTATTTTGCTGAAAAAAACGACATCGTATAGTAAGGCATTTTTAGCCGAAAAAAATGACCGAAAAAAAAGACTGCATAGTAAGGCGTTTTTAGCAGAAGAAAACGACATAGTATAGTAAGGCATTTTGAGCCCGAAAAAAACGACATAGCATAGTAAGGCGTTTTGAGCCCGAAAAAAACGACCATGTATCGCAATGCGTTTTTAGCCGCAAAAAAACGAGCATGTATCGTAAGGCGTATTTTGCTGAAAAAAACGACCATGTATAATAAGCCGTTTTTAGCCGAAGAAAACGACCATGTATAGTAAGACGTTTTTTGCCGAAAAAAACCGACCATCTATAGTCAGGAGTTTTTAGCCGAAAAAAATGATATAGTACAGTAAGGCGTTTTTAGCCGAAAAAAACGACATAGTATAGTAAGGCGTTTTTAGCCGAAAAAAATGACTATGTATTGTAAGGCGTTTTTAGCAGAAGGAAACGACATAGTATAGTCAGGGGTTTTTATCCCGAAAAAAACGACATAGTATAGTAAGGCGTTTTTAGCCCGAAAAAAATGACCATGTATCGTAAGGCGTTTTTAGCCCGAAAAAAATGACCATGTATCGTAAGGCGTTTTTAGCCCGAAAAAAATGACCATGTATCGTAAGGCGTTTTTAGCCCGAAAAAAATGACCATGTATCGTAAGGCGTTTTTAGCCCGAAAAAAATGACCATGTATCGTAAGGCGTTTTTAGCCCGAAAAAAATGACCATGTATCGTAAGGCGTTTTTAGCCCGAAAAAAATGACCATGTATCGTAAGGCGTTTTTAGCCCGAAAAAAATGACCATGTATCGTAAGGCGTTTTTAGCCCGAAAAAAATGACCATGTATCGTAAGGCGTTTTTAGCCCGAAAAAAATGACCATGTATCGTAAGGCGTTTTTAGCCCGAAAAAAATGACCATGTATCGTAAGGCGTTTTTAGCCCGAAAAAAATGACCATGTATCGTAAGGCGTTTTTAGCCCGAAAAAAATGACCATGTATCGTAAGGCGTTTTTAGCCCGAAAAAAATGACCATGTATCGTAAGGCGTTTTTAGCCCGAAAAAAATGACCATGTATCGTAAGGCGTTTTTAGCCCGAAAAAAATGACCATGTATCGTAAGGCGTTTTTAGCCCGAAAAAAATGACCATGTATCGTAAGGCGTTTTTAGCCCGAAAAAAATGACCATGTATCGTAAGGCGTTTTTAGCCCGAAAAAAATGACCATGTATCGTAAGGCGTTTTTAGCCCGAAAAAAATGACCATGTATCGTAAGGCGTTTTTAGCCCGAAAAAAATGACCATGTATCGTAAGGCGTTTTTAGCCCGAAAAAAATGACCATGTATCGTAAGGCGTTTTTAGCCCGAAAAAAATGACCATGTATCGTAAGGCGTTTTTAGCCCGAAAAAAATGACCATGTATCGTAAGGCGTTTTTAGCCCGAAAAAAATGACCATGTATCGTAAGGCGTTTTTAGCCCGAAAAAAATGACCATGTATCGTAAGGCGTTTTTAGCCCGAAAAAAATGACCATGTATCGTAAGGCGTTTTTAGCCCGAAAAAAATGACCATGTATCGTAAGGCGTTTTTAGCCCGAAAAAAATGACCATGTATCGTAAGGCGTTTTTAGCCCGAAAAAAATGACCATGTATCGTAAGGCGTTTTTAGCCCGAAAAAAATGACCATGTATCGTAAGGCGTTTTTAGCCCGAAAAAAATGACCATGTATCGTAAGGCGTTTTTAGCCCGAAAAAAATGACCATGTATCGTAAGGCGTTTTTAGCCCGAAAAAAATGACCATGTATCGTAAGGCGTTTTTAGCCCGAAAAAAATGACCATGTATCGTAAGGCGTTTTTAGCCCGAAAAAAATGACCATGTATCGTAAGGCGTTTTTAGCCCGAAAAAAATGACCATGTATCGTAAGGCGTTTTTAGCCCGAAAAAAATGACCATGTATCGTAAGGCGTTTTTAGCCCGAAAAAAATGACCATGTATCGTAAGGCGTTTTTAGCCCGAAAAAAATGACCATGTATCGTAAGGCGTTTTTAGCCCGAAAAAAATGACCATGTATCGTAAGGCGTTTTTAGCCCGAAAAAAATGACCATGTATCGTAAGGCGTTTTTAGCCCGAAAAAAATGACCATGTATCGTAAGGCGTTTTTAGCCCGAAAAAAATGACCATGTATCGTAAGGCGTTTTTAGCCCGAAAAAAATGACCATGTATCGTAAGGCGTTTTTAGCCGAAAAAAAACGACCATGTATAGTAAGGCGTTTTGACTGAATTTACTGGTTGTAATTCTTAGATTGGCCAGCAGCGGCCGCCATAAAACCTACAGGTGGAAAAGTGATGCCACCTGGACTTTCACAATTTATTTATTTAGCTCACTGGTGTCAAACCTGTTCAGTATTTACCTGAAATGAAACAGACAACATTTGTTTTTTAAAAATCCTTTAAAATAATCATTTAATTTGACTGAATAGTGTTCTGTGAAACCTCTGGGGGACCCCAAGAAAAAAAATTCCAATTGGCTCAGTTGTGAGGTGAGAAAATCAATAGATTGCATGACATGCAACAAGACCAGATGTTTTTCCCCACTATATCTTATTCAAACTACATGTTGTTTTTTTTGTGTTAATGAATGTGTATTATTTACACATCCCTCAGCATTGTTATTCATATTCAGTGCTGTGAATCATAGAAAACACAGAGCATTTATTTCACCGAGAAAAATGAGACAAGATACATTCGTGTTCTGCGTGTTTTTCAGTTTGGACAGTAGTCAAGAATCCAGGAATGACAGCCGGACATTCCTGTTTTTCTTCCTTCGACGGTGGCCAACGTAGAACATCTGGCAGCCATCCTCTGAGAGCAGCGCACGGTCTTACACCTGAAAAAAAATGTGGATCTTCACTAGATCTGCATGGGCAAATTCATGCCCCTAATACAGTTGAAGGTACTTTGGGATGTAAAATTCCTAGTCATTAACATGGGACAACATTAGAGACACGATCAAAATGAGATAATCATAATTTTTCCTGTAAATGACACTTGAATATTCTGAAAAAATTCTTAAATGATGAATGGGAGGGTGAAATGCTCTCTTTGTGTGATTTGTGTGTGTGTGTGTGTGTCCAACTACCAAGGCTGCGTTTGTATACGAGGAAAATGTGATTGAAATGTTAAATAACAAAATACATGACAGACAAAAATAAAATGACCCAGTAGAGCATAGACTGACCCTTAAAATTCATCACTCTGGTGTATCATTAAATATAGGAAGACGGGAACACATTTTACAAGGTGTCATTCAATATTTGGCCACCGGAGGGCAGTATTAACGTTACAAAGATAACTTTCGACAGATTCCTTCACGTAATGCAAGCTCAATAAGAAGCATACCGTCTCACTTAAGGTTTCTACTCATTCTTTTGAAGCGGGCGTGTGTACCAAATATTGTGCCCGGTTCCTTGATGACGAACCCGTGGTTCAGGCCAAGTCGATTTTCTTCTGCGTCTCACTCAGTTTGTCTTGCAGCCTCTTCTTCCGCCAGTCCAGAAACTTCCTCCGCATTCTGTTGGCCTGCCAGCCGGCTGCAAAACCCGCCAGGAAGGACACGACGACGGCCACCTGCACTGACCTCTCCGAAAAGTCGGCCATAATGCCCGCGCCACGGCTTGCCAGCCGCGCGATACCAGAAATGAAACCCTTGGCACAGGTCTCGCGATAACTCAGCAAAGCAAAGCTGAAGTAGCACGTAATCGTGTGTGTGTGCGTGTGTGTGTGTGAGCGAGAGAGAGAGAGTCCCTGGTTTCAAACGCAACACGTCTTGAACTTTTATAATTTTTTTATTTATTTATTATTTTATGGAATGGAGGAAGGCGCGCGCGCGCGCGCGCGCGCACACACACACACACACACACACACACACGGCAGGCTGCGTGAGCAGGTTCTGAAGGCGGTGAGTTTAGTATTGGTAGATTATGTTCTCCTCAGGTAAAATGACACCAGTTTGTTGCTATGGAGACACTGAAGCAAAGGCTGATGGGAGGACAGACCACACGCACACACACACTAACATTAATTTGTTTGTTTGTTTTTTTTAGTTTGAACGAATTGTGAAGTCCCCTGGAGAATTTTGAACGTTGGACAGTCTGTCATCATGTGTGACAGCTCAAAGGAGCAACAGTAAACGTCCCGAAGGGCCAGCTGGTCTTCGGCATTCTCATGACTTGCGCGAGACCTCCGACAAAGACCCCAACACGGACCGCGAGACCGGTGAGTTGCTCTGATGTTCCTTTTCACATAGACGACAACACTTGGAACAGAATTTTCAATCAGAGAAATGTTCATGTACACATGCTGATATTCCTCACTGTGTGGGGACAAACATGATTGGACACTTTATGGGTTGTGTTTGCGGGGACAAAAACATACCTCATAAACCTCATAAAGAAAATGTACGCGTCAATACACGAGTATTTATCACTGTATAGGGACAAACATGTTTTGATGACTTAACTTCGTGAATGACTGCCTTTGCCACAAATGCGTCATGCAGCAAGCCCCTCCCCTCCAGCAGGACCAATGGGAGGCGAGTGGGCTGAGGCGGGCCAGCGTCCAGTTTTCCAGGAGCTGTGGTTCATGGCGGTGATGGCGGCCGTCGCCCTGCTGCTGATGGCCATCGCGCTGGGCGTGGCCCTCCACAAGGTCAGGTGACCACGCCCGCCAGTCACTTCAATCGGCACACTCCATGACAGCCAATCAAAACCGTGTCGCAGGTGCTGAAGAAGGCCCCCTTGGCCAGAGAGAGACCCCCACTGGTGGCCATGAACAAGCGAAGCCCCATGGCCGTTTATCCAGCCAACAACTCCGTTTTGGTGAGAAGGGCCACCAAATTGTTTCCACAGTAGAAGAACTACAAAAGCCACCAGTAGATGAACACTCACTCAATTGAAGAGTAAAGCTGAAAGAAACAAGAAGTAAAATGTGACAATGCTTAAAAAAAAAAACCACACACATTCTGTGAATATCCATACCACCAGTATTAGTTTGAAATTATATTCCGGTAATTGCCAACCTTCAAACCACTCCTGTTTTACATACAAACACAGCATACGATATTCATAAGTACTCTATGATTATCGGTAGAATTGTGAGAACAATTCCCCAGCTGCTAGCTTTAACAGAGAAAAAAAAGCCCCATTTTGTGCTGGTTTCAGTTCGACACGGCGGGCGTGGTCAGCAGTGTGACGCTGAAGTCCTTCACCATCAAGATGGAGGTAACGCCCCATTCGCCCCGATGCACCTGTGTCGCCGGCTGACTTCCGTCTTCCTGGCCACCAGGAGGCGCTGGAGGCCAAATGCGAGGGGGCGAGTGCTCAGGGTGAAGAAGGCGGAGGAAGTGGTGAGGGCGGGACTGCGTTGAGGCGCAGCATCAGCCGCGTGATGGACACCAAGACGTTGGCGGAGGCGTGGGCGCATGACAGTGGAATGGTGAGCCAGCCATCAAACTTCTGAGCGTTTAGGACTTGAATTCTGCTTTTAGGTCTGTGTGCCATTACGCTCCCAACGTGCTCTGCGTCACGAGCAGAAGTGGGGCACTTGAGTCGCATGACTCTGGCTCGAGTCACCTTAACTTATTAATTCTATGACTTGGGACTTGCTTGTCAAACACGTCTTGAAAGACTCGACGCTGACTTTAATTTCATAGTTTATATTTGACTTTTTTTTTTTTTTAACATTAGACACTATAAGGGGGTCATCTTGAAACGATCGCATGATGATTTGCTGCACTATCGCCGGCGGCCTGCACGTCCAAAGAACATGTGGAAATGGGAGACTATTGCCCAAAGTGGATTTTCATGGCTAATTTTTCAAAAATGGCTCAAAGGGCAAGCCTTTGAATGACTTTCCTCTTCCATTCACAGTTTATGGACGACGAGGAGTTTGTGGACAGCGTCAAAGGCTTCAGCACCGTTAGGAAAGAGCACACCATGTTCACAGACACCAACTTGTGAACGGCATCCAAGATGAAACGCTGCGGGCAAGTACAAACAGTCGCACGGATGGACGCCCCCCCACGTGCAAAAAAGTACCAAATTTTTCCTGGACAGGGCTTTGTCCGTTATAATAGAAGCTCCTCGCCTCACTTTAACATAGTTCATCAGCACAAAGATGCTGCCAAAGCATGACTTATTTCACTGTTGAACTCGTTTTGGGCAATTGTTAAATTCAATTATTCTTTTTACAGGGTTGAAAAACATTCATTGCAATTTTGCTCACAGGTGCAAGGACATCCTGTGTGACTGAGTGCCGTGTATGGAAAAGGCCTTGCGTGTCCATTTTCTCTTTTCAGTAGCAGTAGACTTGCATGAGTTTAAAGAACAGATGAATTAAAAAGCAACAATTTGAATCAATGTGTATTTTTAATTTAGAGCAATGAGAGGATGGATAAAAAGTGTGGATAGTTCTTCAAATAGTCATTTATTTGAAATGAGGTGCAATGCTGCCAATTACAGTCAATACATGGTCACAAAAACAAAACAGTAACACAATAAATTAATATACTGCAGTACCACGTAAAACGGTAAACAAACATACCCAAACGGGGGTGGAATCCTATGCATTAAAAACGATTAAAAAGCAGTCAAGTTAATGTAGAAATCTTTTTTTTTTACAAAGTCTGACTGTTGCTGGTCTTTGCATATAAAATATAAATCTGTAAAATTGTACTTGAGACCAAAGATTGAGGTTTCATTAGAAAACTAAAATCTTTTCTTACCAGATTACATCAAAAATATTTTCATTATCTAAAATGGACCTGATTTGGATTTCACGTGTCAGTCGGCTAATCAGATTTTGAAAATTTCAGACAGCTACGAGAACAGTCCAAGAAATCGAATCGAATGAAAAGACACACACAACGTGCGGCAGAAAAGTGTGCAGGCGGCACGTCAGAGTTTACACAGAATACCATTCAAGCAAGCACTTTGTCTTTTTCATTCCCGTTAAAAACGCTTAAGCGCACACACCTAGACGTCATGAGGCGCCTCCTTTTTTTTTTCTTCCCCCCTTCTTCGGAAATCTGAACATAAAGTCGACTAGATGGAGATACGCTCGAGGGCTTTACGACAGACAAATTTTACTTACAAATGCAATACGACTGAAGATGCTAACGGTCGTACCTGAGAGTGCGACTGGACCTTCGAGTTCCCCACTATGTTAAAAAAAAAAAAAAATCCCTAATTTACGACAATCCCATTATCCAACGTTTTGCACTTATGAAGGGCGTAAGAGTAAATGGTCACACATCACAAGAAAGCATGCGGTTAGTGCCGTACTTAGCGGGGCGGGGTTTTGGTTGTTTTATATTCATGGCCTGGCAAAAGTGTTTTTCATTTGTGATTGATTACAGCACATTGCAAGTTACGTACAATTGTTAACATAATACTGTACTTGAATGTAAATCACAGCTGTAGTTAGGGCGAAATTAGTGGTGTTCCGCAAGGCTCGCTATCAAGTTCAAAGATTTTAGTGTTTCTCCTACAAAACTCTCAATATGACTGAAACTTTTTAAACACAATAGTGCCAAAAAAAAAAAAAAAAAAGTTCAAGTACCTCCATCATGACCAGCATTAAAATACAGTCGTGAGGTAAAGGCCAAGTAATTATCAAAAACAGCTTTTATTCCGCAAAATATTTAATGTGCTTACAATTAAATCTTGACTCTAATTTAAATGTGTTGAACATAAATGTTTGCCTTGTCCAATCAACGGTCACCACAGTGAAGCACATGATTTGTTTTAAAACAGTTTTTACACAGAATGCCCTGCATTGCCCAAACATTTTTATCCAGGCTTTGAAGAAAAATAAAATCGAACCGAAATAAATGTTTAAGTATAAACAGTTTGCAAAAGATCAAATGCAACTATTTTGTACCAAAAAGTAGAATATAATCTAACTGAACTTGGGTAGTGAGCATGGTAACGTAAAAATCTTTATCGGTGACGTTGACATGAAGTAATTATCGGTATGTATTTTTTTGAAAAACATTTAAAGGCCAACAATACAAAACAATCAAATAAAAACTCTTAAATATGAAGAATGAATGCTGTTTTGTGCTGCTTGACCATGCAATCTTAGCCGCCGCACAAACTCATTAAATATCGCCATAAACCCCTTGTGATATGTTCAATTGCTCGGTGGGAAAAAAAAAGCTCGGAGTTGAGCTCTGACAACGATGGTCAAAGTGCCAAAATTTTGGCTAAGGTAGCATACAAAGATCACGTACTAGCATGCTAATTAGCTAAAAGCTTTTCTAGCGCTAATCAACAAATACGCAACGTGAGTAGATCACGACATACACAAAAAGTGCGACCACATACTACCTTAAGTATGGAAATAACTAAACACCAAAAGATTAACGGCTCTGCCGAGCCACTGCGTTGACTTGCTAGCTAGCATAAGTGATGTGGAAGGTACGAGGGAGTCGGTGGGCACCCACTCAAGTGGGTCGTACATGTTCGTCTGGCTTTCCTTTTTTTTTCCTCTTTCGTGCATTATAGACAAAAAATATTCTTTCAACATTCAGCCAGTGGCTAGCAGAGTTTGATGGATGCCACGGTTAGTTTGATGCCACCTGGAGTCTCTACTGGCGAGGAGTTTTCCTTCTTTGGACGCAAAAAAAAAAAGAAGCCCAGACTGCATTTCATTTGCTGAAGAACATTAAAAACAAGGAGTCACTTGGGGCGATGAGTAATACTGGTTAACATCCACGGAGAATCGGGATTGTCCAACTCGATATCCAGGTAAAATCATGATACGGTAAGAAAGTTTTTGTTTAAAAGATCCAACGTTCCAGAAGGTTCTTTGTGGCGTCGCTCCAGGGAGATTCTGGACACTATTTTTATTTTTTTTTACGTGGGACAGAGAACTGCAAACACAGCACAAGAGGGGTTGAAATGTTGAATTTGGTGGGGCGTTACCACAAAGACTTGACAAGCGTGAGGTGAGAAGACGAAGACAACCACTACAGGTGAGGAGGTACTGGCTACTAGCCGCTAAAGGGGCGGTGTTACGCCGGTATTTCCGGTGTGGGGAAGGAGATGGAAGGGGACAAAATGCAACTAAGCAGACAAATTTGAGAGCAAGGGCTGGGCGATTTAGCGATTCTTTTAACAACTAGTTTTAGTTGCTCGGGATGATTTGGGGGAAAAATAAATTGGTTTAGCGGCTTCCTTAGTTGAAATGAGTCCACACCGAAGTGCACTAATCACAGTCAGTTTTCCCAAGTTAATCGAAAACATGAGTGGAATTATTCTCACATTGACCAAAAAAAAGGAGTCGGGTGGCAAGCAATTGACGAGTCCATCACATTGACCTAAAAGAAAAAGTGCCTATTTCCTATATATTGAGCAAAAGCTGTCGTTAGCGACGCGTTGGCTACTGTCATGGGCCGGGATAGGATCCTAACGCTGTGATTATCGTCAGCAAAAATATTGTTTTGCGGTATTAAAATTACAGCTCTTAAATTAATTACATTGAAACCTTTGTGGAATTTTTTTTTTTTTTTTTTTGCTAATTGAATACACCATGTAGCACACACATAAAAAACTAATATTTCAGAATAAAATCAAAAATAGGCAAAAATTAATCAATTAATCAACAACAAATTGACTTACTAATAAAAAAGATATCTGGACAATTGATTCATACAAATTGACTACTACTAAAAAATATATATTTGGGCAACTGATTCATTATTTTGACCGTGTTTAACTTCCCAAATCCTCAAAATGTCCGCCACTCTTCAGTAAATCTCCGATATCAGAAGTTCTCTGTGAAAGCAGACTCATTTTTGTCGATTAAAAATGCCGAGATTTTATTTTCGCGCCACAGCGCCCAGCCCAAGTTGAGAGAGAAAGAGAGGAGTAGGAGGTGAAGAGTCAGGGTCCTTTACAAACCTCAGCGTCCAAGCGCTCTCATACCAGAGCTGGCCAAAGCGCAAAGCAGCGGCACAGGCGAGACACAAGGAAGGAAGGTACAGTCAAAGTGGGCCAAGCGCACCAACAAAACCTCCCTTCTTCCACTCGCTGTCATGATTACACCAACTAAGAGCAGGCTCAAGGGCCGTGCACTTCCACTGGCTTGCAATGTCAGAACTTCAAAAAGGATTTGGAATTTGCCACTCCCAGATCAGATTGTTTTCTTTTTCGGGGACTGAAAATGTCCGACTAAATGCATTTGAAACTGGCAAAAAATGGAGCTGGCCAAATTTTACAAAAGGAAAAGGTGCTTTCAGAATTAGGTGCACCTGCACAACCTATCCAACAATATCCCACTCAAGACTATTCCACACAATTTTGTAATCTGTCCAAAAGCAGTAGATTCACTTGTCAAATTTCCAATTTTTCTTTTTTTATGCTCAACAATGCCATCTACAAGACTGGGTTAGAATTTTTTTTTTTAATGGTAACGAAGAATTACAACTTCAACCTCAACTTTTCCTGATGGAGGTTTCTGCTCTCTTTTTCCTCCTGATTAGCATTCAACGAATCGCTGAGTGAAAATTTCACCACGATTACACAATGTTTACCTTAGTTGAGATCTGCACATTCTCTTCAGTGATCTTATTTATATTTGGAAAGGATTTTTTTTTTTAAATTCAGCTCTTGCTTTAGATCTCTTATATAGCTAATTTAGGGTGGAAAATCGCTTTTGGAGAACAAAGAAGGAAAGAAACAGCTTCAAGTGGTTGTGGTTGTGTGCGTGCGTGTGCGTACCTTTAAGGATGTAATCTGTGAGCAGGGCAGGAACCTTCTCGCTGTCATCTCTCATTGCGTGAAGGACTGAGGAACAAAGAGTTGCGCGGATGAACGAAAATGAGGTGGGCAAAAGAGGTGGAAAGATGTGTTCATAGGCTGGACGGACTCACTCTTTGTCAGGATCTGGAGGTCTTCGACGGCAGGGGAGCCCATTTTCTTCTCATAGGGGATCACTGTGGTCAGGTACTGAGGCAGAAAGAACCAAATGTATTTTACACATCGATAAAGAAATGCTTTGATGCAAACAAAGCAGGCCAATGACTCCCACGGGGATTTTTTGAGAAAATTGCTGTGTTCAGAATCAATCCTTAGGATCCATTAAATAGACTCAGCAAGTTGGGCATACTGTCGTCAATGAATATTGGTCATCCCCTACTCTGAGTCTGTCCATGAACAGCAAGCTTGTAAAGCACTGTAATGACTAACAGATGCCAGTAGATGGTAGTGTTGCTTTGGGTTTGAGGACAGCGCATGCTTATGAGGAGATGATAAAAATTAGAACAATAAATCTGTGCTTTTGGTTAAACCAAGCCAATGTTCACCACGGTAAGCGTTGCGTAGTAAAAATTCAACAAAAATATTCCAAAACATTTTGTACCATTTAACAGTTCACAGACTTTGAATTGCAATGAGTGCAGTTTGTGATAAATTTCTAGTTGGATACATGCACCCAAATCAAATAAAGCGAGATGGTCTTGTTTGCCAAGTTGCCAACTTCTAAACTGGATTTGTGGCTTGAATTCTTGGTGAGAAATACGAAACCCGGTCGTGTAATGTACTTTTTTTTTTGTAGAGTGTATATATTTCTTTCAGATTTTTGTTTTTATTTTGTTCACAAAAATGTTTCTTTTCAATTTTAGTTTTGATTTATTTTGTTATGTTTTCATTTGCGAAAATAAACTTGCTCGGAGGTCAAGGTATGTTTGTGCCAAGATCGGAAAGAAGGGAATAAGTGAATGATTCCGAACACAGTTGATGTGCCTGGAACGTGATGAGGCGGCGTTGAGGCTCGAAACACAAAAGTTGGAAGCAGCAACGTAAAAAAAAAAAAAAAAACAGCACAGGCCAACTGTTTCTGTCGAAAGATGAAGCATGCTGGGGAGGAAAAAGAGAAAAAAAAGAAATCAGGAAGAGGAAAAAAAAAAAGATGGGAGGGCACCTGTTTGTCCCCTCCTGTGGTACCAAAAGTTTGACGGAAGCCATTTTGTATGACATTGGAGAGTCCCTCCAGAGTGAGGCGCTACAAGGAGTTGAAGGGAGGAAGCAAGAGGAAACAGAGATGAGGAAAGACGCCAATCAGCCACGTCCAGGTCCCGGTCACACCTCTCCCACCGCTGAGCACTTGACATGTCTCGTCTGCGGCGGCGGCGACTCACCGTGCCCGGGACGTGCGTGCTGGCGGTCCGCTGGCCGTTGAACGCGGTCACGGCTGTGCCGCGGATCTTTTTCTTCTTGCGCAGCAGCTCACGGTGCTCCTTCTGCCTGTTCTGCACGTCGATGAGCAGCGAGATGAAGCTGTTCTTCACCTGCCGCCGCAATCGCACAAAACGATAAGTACACTTGTCGGGCAAAATCAATTCGATTCAGTCGTGACTAATGTGTCTTGAGGAAGCAATCGCATTTCACGGGGATGTGTCAACTAAGTGTACAAAATGGCCGCGTTGGGCCACTACATTTTGCTGTTTATTTCGTATTCCACAAAAAAATATTCTCAGAATGCCGTGTTTAGACTAGTGGGGACGCATAGAACATATTCTCAAGAAAACTCTTGACCTCATTGGGGGGAAAAAAAAAAAAAGAAAACGCGTTGGAAATCTTAAGTGTGAGCAGATGGACCAAAGGAGGGAGTTTCCTGGCTGCTGCGCAGGCACGTGAGTCACCTCCTTCTCATACTCCAGCTCGTCCCGCAGGGCCAGCGCCTGGATGAGCTCCTCGCTGTAGCCGCGGATGGCCGTCTCCACCCCCTCCAGCGTCTCGTTCAGCTCCGACATGGACAGCCGGCGCAAACCTGAACGCGCAAGCCAACGCACACCGTGAGAGCAAAACCGGGGCCGGCCAAATGTCTCGCCACACATTTGTGAACTTGAGTGGAAATATGTGGAAAAAGTATTTGCTGTCATAGGTTGATCAAACTTCAGTATTTTACATCAGCAGATAAATTTTAATCTCACGACAACGGTGAACGTGTTCAGTGGAGGAAAACAACAACATTAAAGCAAAATGCTGTCCGATGAGTGTGCAAGTGCTCATCAGTGTGGAAAGTGTGCTTCTTCAATAAAATGTATGTGATGCATTACATAACGCGTTGTCTGGTTGCATTTAGCACGGATTATGTAAGAAGGTTCGACACGTGGGTGCGTGTGTAGATGTGTCTGGCAATGACCTCTCACACCTCATTAGGCCCAGCTGGAGGACGCAGCTGAGCTGCAAAGACAGCGCACGTGCCACCCCTCCGCCCCGTTTTTTTTTTTTTGTTGTTGTTGTTTTAAGAGCACTTGAAACTTACGGTCCCTGTAGCTGGTGTCAGAGCCAGAGCGTTTCAGGCCGTGAAGGTCCTGGGAGAGCATGGACAGGTCGGACTGGGAAGGGCTCTCGTCGTCGTACGGGTCCGGAGACTCTTGCATCATCTCTTCGATCTCCTCGATCACCTGGTGACCAAAAGCGGAAGATACGCATTTGAAAAATGAGGCTGGTGCTTTGACAAAGTCCGTCCATCCATTTTCTACTCCGCTTTATCTTCACGATGGTCACGAGCATGCTGGAGCCTATCCCAGCTGTCTTCGAGCGGTAGGCAGAAGACAACCTGAACCGGTTGCCAGCTAATCGCAGGGCACACAAACAAACCATCCACACCCACACTCACACCTCGGGACAATTTAGTGTGTTCCATTTACATGCCATGCATGTTTTTGGAATGTGGGAGGAAACCGGAGTACCCGAAGAAAACCCACGCAGGCATAGGGAGGGCATGCAAACACCACACAGGGAGGCCGGAGCTGGAATCGAACTTGCACCTCTGCACTGTGAGGCCGACTTGCTAACCAATCAAACACCTTGACAAGTGAGATATTGAGAACATACATTTCTAAAGAGAATATTTGGAATTTGAAGTCAATAAAAGATTTAAAAAAAAGGTGGAATACACTTAAAATTAAAATAGTTCATTCTGAGAAAAATAAACACAAATATACAATACATAAAATAGAACTCCAATTTAAAATACATATTTATATTACATTTTTAATACAAATTTAAAGCATTAAAAATACTAAATATTAGAATAAATGTTTTTTTAAATCTACATTTCGGAGTAAATAAAAAATAAACATAAAATATACAAAGAAATGGAAAATTTGAATGAATGTTTGTCTTGCAATTACAATTTTTTAAAATAAAAACGTGAATACATTAAAACATTAAAATAAAACATGTTTTTGAAACGTGCTCAAATTTACAGTACTTTGCTTTTTATAATATTTTTTAACCATCAATTTAAGACAAATACATTATAAATGATGATTAAATGCAAAATACGAATTGCTTGAAGCAATTGTGGTTGTATTTTGAGGTAGTTTGGGATGTCACCTGTTCGGCGGTGAAGAGCGGCTCGTCGTTGATGCAGGAGACGATGATGGAGTGCATGTCCATCTGCTCCCTCAGCTCCTCATCGTCCGACAGATCCAACGACTGGCTGTCAAACTTCTGCCCATGGAGGATCACTTGCTTTATTTACAGCGAGCCAGTATATGCGTGCGTGTGTGTTGTACACTGTATATGTCACTGTATACTGTATGTATAGCGAGTACACAGACAGCAGATGGCATAGGTGAGTGCAGCTACCTGGCGCTCGTTGAGGTTGAGGGTGGGCAGGTGAAGCAAGCGTGTGCGCGACGTCTTCCAGTCCACCGGCATCACGTTGCCGTAGTTGTCCGTCAGAGCGTTCCACACCCTGCAAGGATGGACACACAACACACACCTCTTCAATGTTGATCAGGCACGAGAAGTTGGAGCCTGCTAATGTTTCTTTGCAACAAGGTTCAGCTCTTTGTACATATTTGCTTGTACATATTTGCTTCCACAACTCTAACAAGTTCTACATTCAACAGTATATTTCTTCAGCATTCACATGCAATGGCTAAACAAAATGAATTCAATCCAGTTCGTTTTTTGGTGAAAGTTCTGTAAGTCGACGCGATGACATCCACGTGAGGATGCTGCAAGGCCACGCATCATCGTTTGCGTCCCCGCTCGCTACCACACAGCGCTTGTTTACGTAACGGCCATGTTTCTGCCTGAGGTGTTGTGCGCAGCGGGGGGGACAGAGGAGGGTGGTGGCGCTGCTGCTGCTCTATGTAGGGCAAAGTCGTATTTTACAATGCCTTGAGCGGTAGCCGCCTGCCAAAAAAAACCCACACAATTAGTTTTGCTCTCATTGCATTTAAAAAAACAACATAGCTGCTCTACATTGCAAGGCAGCAATATTCAGTCCTTTAGCATACTCATCCAGCTTTCCACACTGTCTTCCGTTCACACATTTTCCTTATTAGTCTGAGTTTGTTGGTGAACTCGTTAAGTGACCGAGCACGTCCCCTCCTGCCAAAGTGCATTCGTGCAGAAAAGGTTCTCTGGGTTACTTGGGGGCTGCTGTCCAATTATTCCACTTGCTTTTTTCCCCACCTCTCGAAATGCTATTCAATGGATGAATCAATGCAAACTTGCTTCAGATTCAACATTTGAAATATGTAGCTGTAAACATACTGTGAGTCAGCTCAAATTTGGACTGAGTAGCGAGTCTTGTGCAACATCACCAGCTTTCTACTGCATACACAAATAATTGTGATATTTTGACTGTAAAGGCAAGTAATTGTGATATTTAGGTGAAGTACAATATAACGTGGGCGACTGGTTAGCATGTCGGCCTCACAGTGCAGAGGTGCAGGGTTGGCTCCGGCCATCCTGTGTGGAGTTTGTATTTTGTCCCTATTTCTCCAGGTACTGCAGTTTCCTCCCACATTCAAAAAACATGCATGGCAGGCTAATGGAACACTCGAAATTGTCCATAGGTGTGAATGTGGGCGCTAATGGTTGTTCGCCTATGTGTGCTTTACGATTGGCTGGCAACCAGTTCGGGGTGTACCCCGCCTAATGCCCAAAGACAGCTGGGATAGGCTTCAGCACGCCCGCGCCACTTATGAGGATAAGCGGATTAGAAAATGAATGGATTGATGGACAATATAACTTAAAATATGTGGACCTTGTAGAGAGCCTTGTGGAACGCCACCAGTATTTGACTGTAAATGCAAGTAATTAACAATTATGTAGAGTGCAGTGTAATGTAAAATTCTGTGGGCCGAACATAGAATCATGCAGCGCACCACCAGTATATATCGGGGGGGGGGGGGGGGGGGGGGGGGGGGGGTTAACATAAATACCAAGAGTACAGTAATTAGGACTTCGTTACTGTGCAAGTGTAGGCTGGTAATAGTACGATGACACATTCCAACTTGCATTCAAATGTAGGTTACGCTACCACTGCTTCAATTTGAGAAATATATCAACTTCCCTTTTTTGGCTGAAGTCTTGCAACATATGCGATTAAATCTGGCTTTGTCACAGTGGAGCAGTTTGAAGGAGAGAATAGCTCAACTCAACTTGTTGTCTTTAAAACAACCACCACTGTATACAAAGCCCCGTACATGGAGCAAAAATAATTCATACAACAACAAACAATAAAACAATAAATTAAGAAAGACAGTAGAAAGCACAAAAACAGTTAAACTAAAAATCAAATCCCGTGCTTAGTCAAAAGACAAAGGATAAAAATGAGTTTTGAGACGAGTTTTAAAAATGGGCAGCGAGGAGGCTTGCCGAACGTTCAGTGGGAAGTCATTCCAAAGAGAGGGACCACCAACAGAAAAGGCTTGATCTCCTCTGAGTGAGAACAGAAGAGGCCACAGAATTGAACCCTGTGGAACACCATACAACAGCGGGGCTACCAAGGCTAACACAAAAAGTTTTGCCAGCGAAATCGAACATAAACTACTCAAGTGCGGTAGCGCCAATGCCCACCAAGTGCTGCAAACGAGCCAACAGAATACTGTGATCCATTGTATCGAATACTGCAATTAATAGTAAGTAGTATTATATATTGAGAATTGGGAAGTTCTCCATTGTGAGACAAATAAAGGTTTTCTTATCTTATTGTCTGTTTCTGTGACTAGCAAGATTTCCATTGATAGCACCCTTTTGAAATTATGATCAAGGTTAAGTAAATTATGAAAGTTAAAATCTCTGATTTTACAACAGCTCACACCTAAAAATCTTGACCGCTGTGGACTTCATATTAAATTGGACAGATTTTAACCGAATTTAAAGATTCATCATTTTAATCACAGGAAAATGACAGTTATACCGCTGACATCGTCTTTACGAGATCTATAAATCAATTGATTATTGAACTTGACGCACACAACTGCAGTAAAAGTGTGGAGTTGTTTTTAAAGCCTTTTTTTATAGGCTATCTGTAAAACGTATTCCTAGTGTGGGCAAGTTTCTCATGTGGAATGCACAATGAGTTTTAAAAAAATAAATCACCATTTTCCAAGTAGTCAAAACAACAGACGTGTTTTAAATGAGCGGCGCTGTGTTTGAAGTAGCCGGATTGCGGCGAAGCTACTCTCCACTCGACCGGGTGAAGCTAACGTGGCAACGGGGCACTGAATTAAAAAAGACGGCCACTCACTCGTCGTCTTTCAGGTAAGTCTCCTCCGTGATGGGCTTAATTGGGGCTATGTGCTCCGTAGTGGTGTTGTAGTTGCGGAAGCACACAGTCAGCTTTTCGTCGAAGTCGTGGACCAGGTCTTCCATGGACTGGAAGCTGCAAATCTCCCCGGAAAAACTGTTGTCCAGGTCGGACAGATCTTCCAGGCCCCCCGCCGCCAAACCGCCGCCGCCGTCGACCGCCACGTTGGAGTTGAGCTGGTCCAGCTGCGCGGACGTCTCCTTGAACTCGTTGAAGTCCTGCCAGTCCTCGTCGAAGTGGGCTAGCGGAGCCGCCGCCATGTCTGCCGTGAGGTGGCCGACAGTTTACAGCGAGAGCGAGGAGTTGTTTTCGGCTTGGAGGCGTTTGTTGGATGTGTCGTTGGGGGCGGAGTTGGAGAACGGAGGGAGTGAGGGAGCTCGTGACGTCAGCGGAACCAGCATAAGCTCCTCCCACGTCCAACAAGCGTCCATTTTCCTTCCATGTCCCCTTAGGGGCTCCGTACCTTAGGGGCTCCGTAGTAAACAAACTCAAAAAGCACACAACCGATTTCACCAAACGCGACGTCTGACGTTCTGTCAAAGATTTTTTAAAATACATACAATTTGGGACCGGCTATTGCAACGAAAAACCTAAATGGAAAATGGCTGAATTCGAACACTCCATAGAAAAAAAAAACTGCACGATAATCACTCAAAAAAAGCCGGAGACGGCACAGATGACTGCACTGTGAAATGAAAAACATTTTTGTCCAATAGAAAATATAAAATGTGAGAATTTAAAAAAATGTGTGACAAATTTGAATGCTGATTGGTCCTGCCTTGCATTTGGTTTGGAAACAGCAAGAGGGAGGGGCCTATTTTATAGCACAAACAGCATTCGAGATGGCTTCGGAAATTATGCTTTATTCTGTTTTTTGGGGTTTTTTGTAAGACAGAGATTTGGGTGAATAAAAGGACTTGGGAAGGTGGTGGCGGGGGTTCTCCTAACAAATACTTTTTTTCTTTAGCTGTGTGAGGTTTTTGTCCTTAGAGGTTCTGGAATGTTTTGTGTGTGTGTGTGTGTGAGACGTAGATGTCATTTTGGCCCCCCTATCTCACTCCGTACTTTCTAATCTCCAAACACGTCATTGTCAACCCATCAAATCCGCATTAGGCTCACCTTTTTTTTTTTGTTTTCCAAAACCCTGAATACTTTATTGAAAATATGCATACATGACATTTTTCCTACACAACAATACAAAACAGTACAATCACATCTGCAAATACCACGTGGACGCCCCCCCACCTCTCTTACACAAACACGCGCGCACACACACAGACACACGCACACGCACACGCACACAACTCCGTGCTCATGGAACTTAAAGATGCTCCAGTAAGCCCTTAGTTCTTAACCCCGCCCCTCCCTCCCAAAACTTTCTGAAGAATAAGACATGAAATCAAAATGAATCTCTTGGTAAACCTCTGAAGAGGAGATAACAGATTGCATACAGACACAGCGTATGACGGAAACATTTTCAACATTTCTTCCTCATCATCTATGTCCCTGTACTAGTAAACTTCTTGTCCTCACCAGAGAGACAATGTAGTGCATTACTCGTAATGTTTTTTCCACTACTTTATATTTCGGCACGCTAGTAGGACAACTACCCATGACAAAAATAGTCAAAAGTGTGCACAAGTTAACATGTGCATGATGCGAGTACTACGAATGAAACACTACATGTTAACTACAGAATTTTATCACGTCATTAGTAGTACTACACTTAGTTGTCATCTTGTGCAGATGTGTCAGGGGCACGGCGGCCATCGTGAATGTCGGTAGAATTTCCAGATTGTCCCGAACGGCTTGTTTATTTCTGGGCCGTAGTGGACAAAACATTACAAGACAGTCAGTCGACCAATGTGTTAAATTGTCTCACTAGTGGGGACAAAGAGCATACTAGTACAAAATGATACAGAATAAAATGCTCAAACATGCTTCTTTTTGGAATCCATCCTGCTGTCCAGGTGATGAGATACAGCGGGGTATCAAAAGCGAAACATCCCTTTTCCAAGTGATTTGGTTTTGACAAATATGGAGATTGGCACACAAAGAGACGTCAGTCAGTTAACCACACGCACACACACACACGAACAAGTTATTTTTAGATTTTTCAAGGCGAGGGGTGGCTATTTTTAACCTGATGGGGTTTTTTAGGTAACACGCTTCCAAACGGGTGTTACTGTGCATATTTTGGGTTAGTGACAAAACTCAACAAAAAAAAAAAGAACAGAAAATAAAAAGAAAGAGTCCAAATCACTGGTTATACTTTAATATGATCATACAAGGTGGGAGATATAATGTGTGGGGGTGGGGGCAAAATAATAAAATAACAAAATATTCAATAAAAACAAGACAGTAAAGCACTGGTTTTGAAACTTGAAAAATGTCTGTGGCAAAATCGTCACAAACCCTGAAAAAAGGGGCGAGAAAGAAAGCTTCTGAATGGACGCTGACCACTGGAAACGACTGGCAGACAGGAGGGCGTTTGTCTGGGCATATTTTAAAAAAAGAATACAGTAATCCCTCGTTTATCGTGGTTAATGGGGACCAAAACCACCCGCGATAAACAAAAATCCGCAAAGTAGCGTCCAATTAACATAAACAGGTTAAAAAAAAACTAAATTTTTTAATGTTTGAAAAAATCCGTGATGCACTGAACCCGCGACAAACGAACTGCGAAGTAGCGAGGGATCAATGTAATAAAAATCTAATCAGTCAATTAGGGGAAGAGTTCAATCAAATTAAATTGCCTCGACAACCTCTCCCACTTTACAGTAAATTAATGACAAAAAAGGAAACGGTTTTTTTTTTGTTTGTTTGTTTATGCAGGAAGGCAGTTTGTGTGCGTGTTTTTGAAACTGCAAGTTGCTCTTCCCGGTCAGTAAATATTGTTGTCCTCCGTTAAAAAAATTAAAATAAAATGCTTTTCTTCCAACTGCTGTCAACACAGTGCACTTCCAATGCCACATGGTGTTAGTGTAAATCATAATAATAATTATACATCTCAGATTTAAATTAAAAAATGGCTCTCAAGTATTATTCTTTTGTTCCACAGATCGAGGTCCCGAGGGCTTTGGATAACTTTTTTTTAGAAAAAATAATTGTCTTTTATAATTTTGACTGCGGGATTAAGCAGGCTCGGAAAGGGAGGGGGGTGGTGGCAAAATCTTTTGCTGGTGCGAACTGAACACACACACACACACATGCGCGCACACGCACACACAGACAGAGTCATCTGAGAATTTATTCCACATTCTTGATGTCCACCAAAAGGTCAACTAGTCCACTCCATCCTCACGAGTAAGACAACTTCACACAACTGAACGACTCGGTCCTCTGGTAGACCGACTGGGTCTTCCCATTGATGTTTTCCCCACGACCGTGTGACATTACAGCATATTAGTCCAACTAATAAAAGCACATAACTAGAATATGGCTCTTAAACTGGCTTACGATGAAATGCAAAAATGAATGATTGTTAATGAAAGACACGGCAGTTGAACAGACTTCTACTAGTGTGCTGAATCATTTTACTCACGAGTACAAAGCGCATACGAGCACACATGACCTGAAGTTGGATATCCAATAAATGCAACATTTTTCGATGACTGCCTTTCCACTACTGTACATCTTTACTAGTATATGTTGCTACTGAGACAAAACTACTAGTGGAGATTTTGGTGCTAACTCGTAGGGTCCAGGAGGCTACTAGTGTATGACAAATGCCTACCAGTTAGGTCTCGTGCAGGTACTAGTGCAGCACAGTCAGGCTTAATTGCATACTAGTCGGTCAAAATTGGCACTACTGGCAGCGGGGAAAAAAAATCTTCCAGGCGTTCTAGTCGTGCGCTGAGTTGTCCTACTAGTGAGGACAAAGAGAATCCTAGTATATGGCTCTTAAACCGGACATCGAGGCTATGGAATATACACTCAAACTGCTTTTCATACACACACGGACTTAAATTTTTTGGGGGGGCAGGAGGTCACAGTTTGTCCCAAAAAATGACGGCCCTCCATCACACAAGCGCGCACACATGCACACTGATATGCAGCGTCCTCCCTGTTTAGGCGGATGCAATTGTGCTGCAGCAGCAGCAGAAGCAGCGAATGTCAGGAAAGGGGGAGACACGATGGGTGAGGCGCAGAGTCTGGCGTGAAGACCATCCTTGCTAGCCACAGAAACCAAAATGGAATCAAGATGAGCCTCGCGAAAAGAAAATATGTTCGGGCTGTTGTTTAAAAGTAAGTTCCAAAAAAAAAAAAAAAAAAAAAAACCACAATCTCCGTAAACATTTTTTGTGTGTGCGTGTGTTGTAATGGGAAGACAATACACTACATGCAACAAAGTTGAGCATGCTGGGCGTTTGGGTGAAATTTCAAAACCAACCTAAAATGCGCTACATTGTTGCCTTGACCGATTCATTCAACGAGCACGCTTTGTGTCTCATCGAAATGAAGGGGAAACGTCCATCTGTTCCAACGCCTTTTTTCGTTTTTTTAAACATGTTTTGGGGTCAGAAAAATGCTCTTTTATCAAAATACACAGGGCAGTGGACTCCTGCTATTTGTGCGGCGGATGGGGGAAAGAAAAAGAAAAAAAGACATGGTATAGAGGAGATCTCACAGGGTTCCCACTCTTCCACTTGCTTTTTATTTATGGACCTGTTAAGGACTTTTGAGGGCTAATTTGGCCATTTTTAAGGACCTTTTCTCCATTCAGTAGGGGATTCACGGTGGATTTAATGCCCGCTCAGCAATATGCGGCCTGAACAAAAAGCCACATATCACTGAGCTGGTGTTCAAATCATTGCTGCCAAAGGCAGGGCACATCTTTATTTTTAGGGGCAATCAGCTAACCCTCTCTTTGACATACTGTATGTCAGATTTTCATTTTTGAATTGAATTTATTCTCAAATAAAGTATACTAAAATATTTAAATTCAGAAAATATAAAACTTCAAATTATTTTTGAATAAAAATACATTTTAAGGATTTTTATTGATTTTAGAAACTTCCCTGAAAATTAAGGACAATTAAGAACATAATTTTACAACTTCTTTTTTTATGGATTTGTATGAACTTTAAGGACCCGTGGGAACCCTGTCTCAATAAGCGGGGTAACAGAAAATAGTAATAATAAAAATAAGGAAGGGAATGGGACTATAATACGACTAATTGGTGGGGACTATAACAGGAATAGGATCCCCCAAAAATCCAGCAACAAGGGAATCCGTGAATGCACCCCCCCAAAAAAAAAACAACCCAAACGTTTTACATATTTTTCTATCAGAAAAAATTGCACTCAACAGTATTGTACTGTACATAACTTACAAAATTGGCTAGCAAGAAAAGGTGAGCTAATGTATTGTCCTTCCTTGTTCTTCTGCGAGCTAGAATGAAAAAGCAGCTTAATGGCACATCAACGCCCCCAACTGGTACTGTCCTTACACTGCAAGGAAACCAAAGTGAATTGATGGTGGCTGGATGGTGTAACATTTGCTGCCCTATAGCGGCAGGGATTTGAAGTGCACTGGTACCTCAAATTTTTTTTTCCACTTGCATCTCGACAGGCGGGGCAAAAAATAAAAAAAAATCGGCACCAGTGTCTAAGTAACCTTATCAGTTGATCTTAGTTTCATTTTGTGCACAAATTGCTGAACAGTAAAAATCACAACCCAAGTTGCGAGAAGGTCAAACGAATTGGACCTGGAAAGGTGATGATGCGTTTTAGGTTCACGGTGCAATTTCACCCAAAAGCCCACATCCCACACTTTAGTAGTCGTAGTGTAGTTTTTGAGAAAACGTTGTCCTTTCCACCATTCTTTCCAATGGAGGCGAGAGGAGACAAACGGACACGTCGTTCAATGACAACAGCTGGACTGCAAAGTGGTGTGGAAGCGGTCAGCTGAGGATCGAGGGGCTCTGCTGCTTCACCGCTTGGTGGTGGTGGTTGCGTCCTCGCTTCACTGGAGGAGCAAAGGGGTATAGAGGGGGGTGGGGGGGGGGACAGTTTTTTTTTTTTTTTTAAGATGAGGACACCAAATTGTCCATCATCAAGGTCTGTCGAGACGCTTCTGCATCCCAGTGTCAGTCTCTCTCTTTTTTTTGTATTGGTGGCTTGCACGCTCCTTTTGTTTTTGTTTGTTTCTTTGTTTGTTTTTGCCTCGGGGTACGTTTTGGGTGGGTGTTGAGAATGGAATTTTTTTTATGGAGGAGTACTGGTGGGTTCTCGGGAGAGAAGTGTCCATCAACTGTCCATGTTACTGCAGTTCTCTGGGGAGGAGGGGGGGGGGCACAGAATAACACGTTTTAGCTTTTTTCTTGTTTTTTAAATGGGCAACATGACATCAAACTCATATCACGGTATGAAATGGCGACACTGATATGGACAAGCATTATAAAAAAAATGGAAGTTTCGATGTGACTTGTTATGGGAAAAGTGTATTGGCCCCTTAATTGTCAGTACCGTTGAGCGCGTCGGCTTCTTGCGAGTCGTGGAAGGGCGCAGGGCCCCAGACGCGCACCGTCCCGTCGTCCGAGGCGGACGCCATGAGCCCCGGGATGGTCGGGTTCCAGCTCACGCAGTTGACGGTACGCGTGTGGCCCATCAACTCCGCGATGGGAAGCTCGCCCCGCCGGTGCCAAATGTACACTTTGTGGTCTGCGCGGGAGGAACACGAGCAACAAGCAACAACAACGCATGAATGAGGAAGACAAAGAAATAAGAACGGATTCAAATGACTATTATTTTTCCATGAATGGATGATGATTCAGTTACTTGTTTGGCCCGTAATATGTCAGAAAATGAGCAAAAAATGTTGATCATTGTTTTTCCAAAGTAAAAGCAGAGTTTCGCAAGTGTTGACTTGGAGTAGATACATTTCATTTATACAATAAATATAAATGACTTGATTAGTTTGAAGATCCTTTACCCGTGACATCTGAATAAATATTTGTTCTTCCCTCAATGAGTTACGAAATGTGTCCAAAAGACACAAGTTCTTCTTTTCTACTGGTTGAGAAGAAATAGCACCACTCGGAGGAGAGAGTGGGTACTACAGTTTACCCTCGAGGCCTTTTTCAGACTCAGCACGGCATGAAGGACCAAACGGCCAAAAATTTAAATAAATACAGTAGTTGTGTCATGTATTGTTTGATTAGGATCGATTTAATGATTTCAATGTTTATTTATTTAGCCATTTCAAAATCGAATGATTTCAATATATGATTAAATAAATACTGAAGTCGTGAAATGAAATACATACTGACATAAATAATGATTAAAATAATTACGTATTGAAATTATTTTAAAAATCTAAATATTAATGTTATAATTATTTATCTGGCGTAATGTTACTTAAAAAAACGTGGCATTGTATTTATATGTATGCCTCTACCAGCCAGGTAGTGAAGTATTTTTTTTAGAGTTACCGGTACTGTTCTCACACAGTTTCAAACTTGCCCGAGAGGTTGCAAAATTTGGAATCAAGCCAGCATTTTCTGGCCGGACATGCCTCAGAAGTTGTCAATCCAATTCCCACATTACAAGAGACAAACATAAATAAAAGAAAATAAAAATCAGCAGTTTATAACAGAGGAAGGCACAAATAGATATTACAGGTGCAACCCCCGCCCAAAGAAATTGCAAACATGGTAGAAAGGTTAATTTCTTCCAGTAGCTCAATTCAAAAACCCCCAACTGAGAAATATTTAACTGTCATTGGTGATCATCTGTATGACTTTCACTTTTTTAATTTGAGTTTGACGCAAATTTTTAATTTATTGAGATGGAACTGTATATTCTGGTTGAGAGCATTCCATTTGTCGCCTCACAACCTATTTTGTGTGTGTAATTTGTTGTGAAATTCCATTTCCTTTCTCAGCACCCGAAGCGGTGATTCCACCTAAAGGAAATGTACTGCTGGTGTGTACTGCACCTTCGCTGCCGCTGGCAATGAAGTCTTCATTGTGTCCCCCGAAGCACGAGTGGATGGTGTAGAAGCCCTGGGTGACACCTTGGTATTTCCTGACCAGCACTCGGTCCTGTAGGTCCCACAAGTGCACTCCCTAGGAAAGGGCACATGCATGCGTTGATTACCGGACACGCGTCTTAGATGACAGTTTAAAAAAAAAAAAAAAAAAAAAGAGAGAGAGAAAGAGACTCACCTGAGTTGCTACATTTAACACAGCTAATCTTCCATTCTTGGAAACAGTAAAAGACATGATAGGATGGTCCTCCTGGACTCTGCCGGGCAAAAAAAACCAATCACAACATTAGAGCTCCTGTATTTCTTTGGATAACTTGACACATGCATTTTTAAGTGATCATTTTTTATGCCTTTTGAGTGCACCTTTCAAAGTATTTTAGGTTCAGACTGAAAATCGCCTAATAAACCTTTTGGGGAGTCACGTAGGCGTCACACTCCAAAAAAGAGAGAGAGAGAAAGAGACTCACCTGAGTTGCTACATTTAACACAGCTAATCTTCCATTCTTGGAAACAGTAAAAGACATGATAGGATGGTCCTCCTGGACTCTGCCGGGCAAAAAAAACCAATCACAACATTAGAGCTCCTGTATTTCTTTGGATAACTTGACACATGCATTTTTAAGTGATCATTTTTTATGCCTTTTGAGTGCACCTTTCAAAGTATTTTAGGTTCAGACTGAAAATCGCCTAATAAACCTTTTGGGGAGTCACGTAGGCGTCACACTCCAAGTATTCAAAATGACAATGTGAAAAGATGAGGGGGGTATTTTCATTGGAGAAGATTGTTTAGTTATCATTATTAATTTATACAGTCTAAATGAAACCTCTTGCTGTGGGCGTACATGTTTCTGTCGGCGAGGTCCTCAAAGTTGTAGCCCCGAATACGTTGGTGGGTGTCTGAGGCCAGCACTGTCCTGCCGTCGCTCAGGCACCACAGGCACTGCACTCTCACGCCTTCCCACGAATCCAGCAGGTTGCCGTCCAGATCCTGAGGGCACACGCGGCAAATGTTCAAGACATGTACGCAGAGCACGAGGCTGCAATGAGAACGCGACGCGCACGTACGCATTGATAGAACTGGCCCCTCTGGCCTCCCGTGACAAAGCGTTTGCCGTCAGGGTTCCAGGCCACGCTGGTCAGACTGTCCTCGTGGGACTGCGACATCTTGGTGCGCAGCTCCCCCGTCTGGTCAAAAGGCAGGAATGGCGAGCAGAGGGAAGAGCGTGGAAACAGGGTAGGGGGAGAAAAAAAAACAACATTAAGACCAGGAGAGGGGAAAGAAAAGAAGAGAAAGTGACTCCAGAGCAGAAGATGGTCACGCCTCTGCGTCCAGACTACAAAAAAAATGGCACTTGGCTGCAAAACCACCACTCCAGAGCCACGTCGTCGCTTACCTGAACATTCCAGAGCCACAGCTCAGAGCAGTCGTCGGGTCCGCAGGCAATCAGGTAGGTGTCGTCGGGGCTCCAGGCCAGGTACGAGACCCCGTACGCATGACCCTCCAGAGTCCGCAGCAGCTTCAGCTGGTGGCTCTCCTGCACAACAGCACCATAGAAAAAACAAACAAACAAACAAAAACATAAAACGACATCCACCAAATCGTGTCCTCTGCTACGGCTTGGTTCATCCTTCGAGCCCCTGTAATGTTAACATTAAGCTAGCAGACATTAATTAAGCTAGCAGCCTTTCACATGTGTTTTTAATGCACTGCATGTTTTGCACTGGGGATTGAGAGGAAAGACAATAAAGATGACCTTGACCTTGATAATATGACATGGTCTGGTGGAACATTTTGGTGTTTAAATGCAATGTGGCATACCTTTTGTTTTGGATGTCAGTTTCAGACAAGACTTCCAACCGGGTATGACAAATATCGTGAACGGTGATAAACGGGGGTTCACCCCATAACAGAATTTTTTTTTAATAATAATAATAAATACGGTCGAATTTTGCATACGCACCGGGTCCACCTGCCAAATGATGACGGTGGTGTCTTTGGAGCCTGTGGCCAGCTTGGTGCCGTCGTTTGAGAACTTGCAGAACCACACTTCGTTACAGTGCTCGGTCAGAATCTGTTGCGTGTAACATGGGAACTGCTTCCTGTGGAAAAACAAGGGCGATTAAAAAAAAAAAAAAAGGCACTTTAAGAGCTTCAAATAACATTTTCGCTAGCACTGACAGAGGTGGTCAAAGTCCAACAAAAAAGGCAAAGATCAGATTAGAAAGTACAAAATGAGATCGATAGCAAGTCGGTTCGCCAAAGTAAGCACAGGTTAAAAATTGTGAAACCTCACGATTCAAATGCGGCAGTTGAATTTAGACGAACAAAACAACGAACAAAATCGACAGACGTCAAGAAGGAATGCCACACGGTGTGTGAGCAGAGACCTGCTGCAGACATGATCGATGAGCAGCGACACCGAGTCCAGGCTGCTGTCCAGCTTGGTGTTGTGATAGAGGCAGCGGTCCCTCTGCAGCTCCACCGCCTGCCGCAGGAGGTTCTGCAGCCGCCGCGGGGGCAGCATTACGGATGGCGGCAGGTACGCTAGAGACGGACAGAGACGCCGGAACGGCGCATTAGTGTTCCGGTCGCCGGCGGGAGCGAGACAAACGGCGTCTCCCTCACTTTGTAATTTGTCCAGCAATCGGCAGCGGGAGGCCGTGCCTTTGCCCTCCCACTCCGCCTTGGCCCTTAGATCCTCAGCATGGCTGCACATAAGATACCTGCCGCAAGCATATCAGAGGACGGACAGCGTAATTCGCACAAAACGGCCGTCTGTCAGCCAGGCACGTCCTTTACTGCCTGCTCAGATCTTTTAAATCGCGTTTACTGGTTTATGAGAAAGCAAGATCCCACCTGCATTTCATCAGCACAACTCCACCCAATGATCAATATTGTGAAAGGGCCTAATATCAGCCAATATAATCGGTTGGACAATTACTAACCTGCACATACCGGTAGTTTGAATTTGTCTGTTGAATGTGCGCCTCTAAGAGGTGTGGCCTGGTAAGTGACATTCATAGCTGGAATTAAATAGTCAGTGTGCGAGCGTCTGACTGCGAGCTATGGGCCACAGAAGCTCCGTATGAATGTTAGTCCCGTTCAATAACAGCTTAAAGTGCACACGGCTCTCTTTTGATTATCTTAATTGCTCAATTTTTTTTCCCCCCCGTCCACATCACTTAAACCGCAGTGTATCTGAAGCTTGACAATCACAAAAAATTTGGTTCAGAACACAAAGCAAAAAAAATGAAGGAAATGAGAGAAAAACAGAAAAAAAAAACATGTTAGGGGACTCAAGTTACCAAGGAAAAGTAAAAAAAAATAATAAAAAAAACACACACATTAAATCGTACATTAAAATGGAATTGGGTATTCGGACTTGGGCACTCCAGCCAAAAAATTTTGTCAATGGGGTGTGCGGAGTTATGTATGAGCTCTTAAGAGTGACAGAGTGGTACCCGCTGAGCACGTGGATGCGGTCCGTGTTGTACTTGAGCGGCGTCAGCTCCCCGCGGAGCACCTGCAGAGCCTCCAGGACTTTGCCGTCTTCCAGGTACTCCAAATACTTCTGTTGCAGCAGCAAGAACTTCATACGCTGAACACACACACCCAAAAAAAAAAAAAAAAAAAAGAACACTTGAATAAGCTCCAGCCTTTCTCCATTCCACTCACGTGATCTCGTAGAAAACCAAAAAAAATACATCGACCAAAATTGTGTGATCCAACCAAGTAGCCTAAATAAAGAATTTAAAAAAAAACGTTTTGGGTTTCAAAAGACCACAACAGTGCCAAAAGGTCCAATTTCATTATAAATCATCTTAAATAGGATTTTGATGAAGCTTTTTGGGTCACATTTGATATCTCCAGCAAAGTCGTTTTGACAAGTCATTATCATGGCAGTCTACGAAAACACATTCTGGAAGCAGCAGCAACAACAAAAATGAACTTTCTGTTGGTCAGAATCCTTCCAGAAGGCCCCCCAGAGGATATTCATGGACCCCTGGTTGAGGTTTTGCAAAAAGGCCGCTTACCACAATGGCGTTGGGCGAATGCATCAGGGCTCTCAGTTCATTGAGATCATTCTCAGCCTGGACCAAAACAAAAGGAAAAATGGTGAGCGCAGCAGTTTTTGCTTTCACACTGACAGCCGACAGGGGTGGACGAGAGGCTGGGGTGCTGGGGGGCACCGTTGCTCTACGAGAGATTTTTTATTTGTAATGGGAGAGAGACATGACCTTGATTTTTCACAAGACATTTTTCCGACTAGGTTTGGAGTCAAGAAGAAGAACGAGGCCAATTTGACATCGGCTGGGGCAGAGTAAAAACCCTTCACATCCTAAAGTTGACAGCCTTTGTTGACGTCACTTTTTTGTCACAAAATTGTCTTTTTTGGACAATTTATAGCCTCATTAGTTACCCCTGACAAGAGCAAAGAGCTGTACTAAAATAACAGGCGTTTGCAAAGATGACACTCAGAGTGGATATAACAACAACTTGGGCCCCACCCCCACTAATGTGGTTATCCCCGACAAAACTGACCTTGTCCCACTCGCCCTCCATGACATGGTTGCGGAACTTGCTGGCAGACGAGTGCTCCAGTCTGCAGCCTGACTCCTGCATCAGCAGGTCCACCGTTTGACTGCAGCCACCAAACACACAGAGAAAGCAAGTGAATGCAAAAAATGAGGCAGACGTCTGAGGGGAAGAAAAAAAAAAAAATTCCACCCCACCTTGATTTGATGTAGGCACCATTAGTCACGGCAAGGATTTCAAGCAGACTATTATATACTATATGTGTACCCGAATTGCCACTATGTGAGCTGAGGTCATGAAGGTTACGCATGGGCTTCAGTGTGATGGCATCCTATTAAGGTTACAAAGCAGCATTTCTAGCCGTGTAAGTTCAAATGTTACAATGGCACAGCAACGACCAGCAGCGGTCGTTGAGTCACAATGGAGTTATAGTCCTACGGCGATGACATAACCCAAATTTGTACGCGAGTTGGAAGGTGTCGCTGTCTATCACTCGCCTATGCTACAAACAAGTGAAGTCATAAAGTCAAAAATTGTTTGTCCGAGAAACACAAACATCTGCGGGCTCAGTTGCGAGTCCCTCTGAACAGTTTTGAAAGGGAAAATTCTGACGGGTTTATTTTTTCGTTTCCATGTTTATTTTATCCACCACAATGTCTTGGCACTATATCGTTATTCAGTGGCGGGCCGTGCATTTCAACCTTAGGCCTTCAGTGACGTCACATACATACATACACAATATAGGCTCGTCAAGCAGCACTTCATTTCAGGAGCATTTAAAACCATCAAGTATGCATTCACAATTAAGAGCAGGAAACTAAATTTACAGATATTGTCAAAAACAAAGAGATGATTTAAAAATACTAAATAAAATGCCACCCAAATTACGCTGTGTGATCTTAAACAAGTCTGTCCAATAAATTGCGCAATGTCGCAGTTTCATTTAAGACGCTAACCAAATGCAACCTGACTGTGCCTGTTCACTTACAGCGCACAGGGGCCTGCACTGTTTAATCTGAAGGCCCCGAGCAAGTTTAATTTACCTGGCAACACAAGCTAGCTGAAATATGATTGGTTAAAAACTCTACCATAATAAATGTTACTTGTCGAGTGGCTTTCAATGTTATTTAAAATAACATCGAAAGCCACTCGACTAAGTGGAAATAATATGATGTAAAGAATACAGAGGATAATTTTGTTTACATATTTATGAAAATAAAATAACAAATTAAATTTATGTTATTTGTAATGTTCAGGCCAGCAGAGAAGGCCTTGCTGGCCCTGACGAAACGCCACTGTTGTTATTATAATATACATTCATGTAGTCGCGGTTTTATTTACTGAGTGACACATTACAAAATAAATAACAAGTTTAGTACTTATTACTTGAAGTGAGTTACTCAAACAGATTTCCAAGTCAATAAAAACTTTATGTTTAAGCATTTCTTCGAGATCCTTGCGATCCAGTTTAAGGTCCATGTACTAGTACGCTCATTGTGCTCACCTGAAGGACACATTTGGCCTACTCGTAAGCAAACCTTTACTCGTCTCACAATGGAGAAATTCCCAATTTACAGCAGCAAAGCTATGAAAGGAAGAACGTAGAAGAACAAAAAGTATAGGAGCTGCGGTAAGCCACTCTAGGCGCCATCTTGAAGTCATAATAACATCATAACAAAATAATACAACACCACACATAAGACACAGACAGTCATTCAATTTGAACCACTTTTGTGGGTACTCTTTGTTGTTTGAAGCAGTTATAGATGAAAGAGGAGAGGATGAGGAGATAGTAGGCCAACTAAAGGTTAGTAGTGAGGAAAAACATGTGGGCATTTTGGCGTGACTGGTAGGCTAAACTGTGCCTGAAACATGCCATCGAGTTAAACTTAATCGTGGGGGCAATTTAGTGCTAGTCGGCCAAAAGTGGCAGGAATAGAGAAAATAACATTACTGCTCAGACACAACGGTACAACTCGTGCGATGAATTGTCTTTTTGATAAACAGTGTACTAGTAAATGGACCTTAAGACGGAGAGCGAAGAAATGCAGTAAACAGCTTTTGCGACTACTTTTTTGGGGGGCAATTCGTCACTAGTAGCTTGCATAACATTGCAGTCGGGCCGCCTATTAAAAACACCTCCCAACAGGCCTCAGAAATGTGACATTATCACTAGTGACAATCAAAATGGAGGAAAACCACAACCCTTAAAAAAAAAGCTCCTACGGTGTAATTCGCTCGGCCAGTCATTAAAAAAACATTGTGAAAACGTTACTGACGAGAGATGATGTAATGCACTCCAATGAGCAAAAAACACTAAAAGTCGTGTAAAAAAAAAGAGCACCACTTAAAATCCACTCACATGGTGGTCGCAATGTGTATTTATATGGCCATTGTTCCATTTGGTGTGTAAACACGGCAGCTGAGAGCAGGCTGGCGCTTGTTAGCATGCTAAATGTCTAAGTGTTATTGTGCAAGATGGACCCCTCGCCTTCTTGCCTTCTTTGCCGAGAGCGAACCAGCCAACATTTGGACCCATCCCCCATGTTTGTCCCTGTCAAGGCGCAGCAACAGCGCTTGCCCCGGCCGCTGTGTCGCACTTTTTAAAGCAAGCAAGATCATTTCGAACCAGTTGTGCCACAACTTACTTGAGCCCCAGTCCGTGGAGATGTTGACCTATGAGCCGGATGACATCTTCCTCTGCCTGCGACAACCGCTTCTTCTTCTTCAGCGAGCCCACCTCCGAGCCCGAAGAGGCCGCGGCAGAAGTCCCACAGGCGGTGGAGGTGGACGACGAGGAGCCGTTGCTTGTGCCCACGCCGTTGCCGTTGTCCGCGCCGGCGAGAAGAAGCCCGTTGGAGTGCGACCCACCACCGCCGCCGCCGCCACCACAACCACTGCCAGCCGCAGCCGCCTCGCCGTTCTGCGCGGCGGCCAGGCACGAAAGCTCGGCCGATTCTTGCCCCGCTCCGTTCGCCTGCATGCTGCTGTTGCTGCTGCTCAAGTGGCCGACGGCGCTGCGGTTCAAGTGGATGGTCGATGTGGCTCCGAGTCCCAAGACAACTCCGGCAAGGCCTGGCACAACCGCTGAAGCCCCGGGCTCTCCTGCTCCCTCCGCCGCCGAGGCTCGGTGCTTCTTCCGCGGGGGCGGCGACGCTCCGCCGGTGTCCGAGTCGGAGGAGGAGGAAGCGGAGGCCAGAGTTTCCTCACCGAGAGCGGCCGTGGTTAGAAGCCGGCGGTGCTCCGGGTGGGAAAAGGGGGCTCAACTTCCAGAACGGAGGCCGCGTCGGTCGAGCTTGGAGCGGACTGTCACCGTTGGCCGCGCCGTCTCTCGGCCTCGTTTTTGTTGTTGTTGTTCCTCTCCAAACAGCTGCAGCTCTAATGGAGGCCTGCCGTTCTGACGTCACCGGAAATTCCGACACCACCAAGTTTCCGGGTAGAACCAACAAGACTGCGCCCGGATTATTGCAGTCAAGGGTTGATTTATGCTTTGTTTGATCACCGTGTTTGCAATTTATTTCGGAATCTTTTCAGAATTTTGTGCCACTAACTGATCATAAACTAATTACTATTCTTTTAGTTGGTTCTAAACCTAAATGAATAAATACAACCCATAGTGTGTGTTAAACTCAAGGCCCAGGGGCCAGATGTGGCCTGCAATAGCAAATCAAACATGCTGATTTCTATTTTGCATGCTAAAATTTGTACCAAAACTTCAAATTCTTGTCTGTAATATATAAGAGAGCTGTTGTAAGTGTTCTTGTTACCAAAACCCTCATTAAACTAACTTAAACTATAGTTGAATAAACTATTATTCTTGACTTCCTGATATGGTTTCACAGTCATAACGGCCCTCCAAGGGAACCGGTAACTATAATGTGGCCCGCGACAAAAATGAGTTTGACACCCCTGCTGTAAACTAAATAATAACCTCTTGAATGATAAAATATAAAATATTTTGAAATATGGTCAAGAAAACTGCAGTACAGATACTCTGGATTAATAGTGAAAATAATCAAATGCAAAGATGGGAACACTGGAAGTGAGTTAAACAAATATTGAATATAAAAAAAGAGTTAGCGAAAGAGCAATGAGACGAAGTAAAGAAAGCCATTTCAACTAAATAAATCGTTACCATGAATAAACTAAATTCTAAAATGGAAAAAAGATAATCTATCAGAGGATGAAGAAAGTGAAATTAAATAATTAAAAGAGGAAATAGATTTTGCAGATATTAACATGGCTAAAGGAGCTTTTATAAGATCAAGCGCCAAATGGATGAAAAGTAATTAGGCGAGTGAAACCCGTTATTTTTTTGCTCTGGAAAAACGTCATCAAAAAAGAAATAATGTGTCAACCAACCCTTGAAATCAATGATAACATGACCAACAATTGTTTGGATATTTAAAAATATGTTGGACAATTTTACACACATTTATATAAAGCAAACTCTTGCATCAGTGATTGTGAAAAATTTATTGAAGTGATTAAAGAATTTCCACTGACTATTTCAGAACATATTAGACATAGGCAAGTCACGTGATGAAAAAAATGATGGACTATCACTGGAATTCTATGTACATTTTGGGGATATTATTGAAGATCATCTATTAGCATTATTCAAAGAATGCTTTGTTAAGAAAGACATGTCCACAAGTATGAAACAAGGTGTAATAACCATACAATACCATTTTCTACCACTTATCCGGGATTAGGTCGTGGAGGCAGCAGCTTTAGCAGGGAAGCCCACACTTCCCTCTCCCCAGCCACATCTTCCAACTCTTGCGGAGGGATCACAAGCCGTTCCCAGGCCAGCCGGGAGACATAGTCTCTCCAGCGTGTCCTGGGTCGTCCCCGCGGCCTCCTATCAGTGGGACATGCCCGAAACACCTCATCAGGGGGGCATCCAGGAAGCATCCTAATCAGATGCCCAAGATACCTCATCTGGCGCCTCTCAATGTGGAGAAGTAGCGACTCGACTCTGTGTCCCTCCTGGATGACTGAGCTTCTCACCGTATCTCTAAGGGAGAGGTGGGCCCCAGTGACCGCCATCCGGGCAAGGGAGAAAGTGTTCCAAACTTGTCAATCATTAGAATGGGCACCTGAGCCGTGCTTTGTCTGGTCCCTCACCTAGGACCTGTTTGCCATGGGTGACCCTGACCTAGAAATAATTTCTGTAATTCGTCTTTATTTTGCCCTACCAAATATAATACAAATTAATAAGGGTTAAAGTCAGCGATGCAGCTAATTCAACCCCTAAACAGATACAAACAACAACATATTCACGTACTGACTTGTAATATATGATGGAATGCGATAATTAAATTGAAAGATTCATTTTATTGAATCCCAAAATACAGTGTGACTATAACAGCAATGATTTGTACCATTCCTTTTTCAGGAAGTCTTCTGACAATTTCCAAGTATGTTTGGTTGTGGATTGTGAAAGGAAAGAATGATTCAAGTTTGTCATCTTTCATAAATCGGTATGTTTTAATTGCTTATACAGATCTATTTAAGCTTAAAACATGCGGTTGTTCTTTTATTTAAATAAAATGGCAAGCACCACCCTGTTGATATTTGTCGGTTGACTTCCAAACTAATTTGATCACTAATAATAATCAAATCATCTGTTGTGGTTTAGTTAAGGAAGATAAAATCAACAAAATAGTGCCAGCTTGTTTAATGAAAAGTACAAATATAGTACATAGTTGAATGAAAAGTATGAATGACAGCCAAACCCTTTATCAACCTAGTGCCAGCATTTTACCGTACGGGTGGGGTGATTATTATTATTTTTTTTTTAATGTTGGTCTACATGTAATTAGCATTGCTACAGAGCCTATGAGCAATACCAATAGAAAAATAAACTGCAGGTATAGCGAAATGGGCATAGTACCATGTAGTTTGGTCAAAAAACGTGCACCGCTTGGTGAGGAAGAGTCGTTTGTGGATGAACGTCGCCTGTGTTTTTTTCTTTCCCCTTCATGAAGTAGGTGAGCAGCTCGCCTTTACCTTTGACAAGAATGGGTCCCCTTCGCACAAAGCGGAAACCGTAGAACTTCAGGATGTCGAAGCAGTCCTCCACCACCTGAGGGGAAGCCCAGATACAACACTTTTTTTGTGATGTGATTTCTCAATTCATTTTCAACTCATTCACGAACATGGACGGTCATAGTCATAAAATGGAAGCGAATTTCTTCAGTATGTGTTTCAACAGTTAGGCGTGGAATAGTTCAGCTTTGTACACAGATTCCTATAGATGGCAGCGGTGAATCGGTTTGGGTTGCCGATCAGCACAGTGTTGGAGAAGAAGATAAAAGATTAGCAGGTAAATGTCAGCTATTTCCGTCAATTATGAGGGGGAGAAATGCCAACATGTTGTAAGTTGAACACGTTTAGGCACCTGGCACCTCAAAAGAGGAAGTATATGCATGGTTTGAACAGAGTATGTCTGGCGGTAGATAGTGCCTATCACAGGTCAGTCCTGGTATTACATCATCAAAGTCAACGTGTGTTGTAGCATGTGCTACATTAGTCATCGCAGTCCTTCATCCTATGTGGGGTCTCTCACATTTTCAAAACCGGTTTTACCTGAATGTTTCCCATGACTCCGGTGGACTCCATCCTGCTGGCCACATTGACTGTGTTCCCCCAGATGTCATAGTGAGGTTTACGAGCTCCGATCACGCCGGCCAGAACGGCACCTTTATTGAGTCCTGTGAGAACATAAATGAAAACACAAATTCAGTCAGACTGACTTCATGTCAAACTAGAGCCCCAAAACAATGACTGGGTCCACAATCAGTCAGTCAGTTGCAGTTTTATAAAAACAACAGATAAATATATGCAGAAAACTAGCATGAAATACAAACAGGCATACAGTATATTCTTTATCCTCTTTGAAGAAGTACTGATATTACAGTGGTTTACTGCACTTAGTGTGATGTCTCCATGTTGTCGGGTTGTGCCGAGGTCTAAGAGCCCATGAGTAAGGTGCGGATGATAAAAGATGTATAAATGATCGAACAGGAGCGCCAGCCAAGTCAAGATGAAGTAATGGTGATGTTATGGATTTCTTGCGAAATAAATTCATAAATTAATGGGTTAACTCCCAGGAATAGGTCGTTCCTCCAATTTGAATTTGGAATCAATTTAAATTGTAATTTCCAATTTGAACGCTAGAGTGCGCCAAACCACAGTCCACATAAATGCAATGCATATGATGGATAAGGGAAGTTTTCATCCTTTGAACGGAGAGTCGGCCGGGACTTTCCCGATAGTCCAACAGGTAAGTGGGATCTGACATTGTAGAGTACAGACGCTCCCCAGCTAACGAACGAAATACGTTCCGAAGGATCGTTCGTTAGCTGAATTCGTTCCTAAGTTGCTTCAGTGCTATATTTTGTATGGAATGTATGTTTAAGGCTTATATAAGTATGTTTAAGGTTTATATAAGTATAATAAAATGAAGTTTAACTTACTTTTGGAAGATGTACTCGAAGGCTTAAGGAGATGATGGACGATTGCAGAGTTTTCTTCTTTTTCTCATCATAAATGATGCAGTAGCACTGTATGGCATCATTCATTTGATTTGCAAC